TTGTCTCCAGCACCAAACCAGTCTACATGTGTGAAAACAGTGAGTTTCTATGATCTCTGCGACATCCCAGGGAAGGATTCAAAAGGAAAAACTGACATTCAAAAACTTGAAACAAGTTTCTAGGGATTGCATTTTCTTGCTCACCGCAAATCTCATAGGTTTTGAAAAATCACCGTCTTTAAAAAGTTTTAACTTTTGATGTCATCGGGTACAACATTTTTTACTTGATATTTTTCTCTCCTATACGTAGAAATGCGCCATGTTACCATATGTAGACACTGGTATCGTGCTGGAGATAATGAACATCAGGTTGAAGTGGTGGAATTTAGAATGGTCCACACACGCGCACAGTCGTGAAGGCGCCTCTTCCCCCTCAGGAGGTTGAAAAGGTTTGGTATGGGCCCTCAAATCCTCAAAGAGTTCTACAGCTGTACCGTTGAGAGCATCTTGATTGGCTGCATCAGTGCTTGGTATGGCAATAGCTCCGCCCTGGATCGCATGGCGCTACAGAAGGAGGTGCGGACAGCCCAGCACATCACTGGGGCCGAGCTCCCTGCCATCCAGGACCTCTATACCAGGCGGTGTGAAAGGAAGGCACGGAAAATTAAACCATCCAAACCATAGACTGTTCTCTCTACTTCCGCACGGCAGGCGGTACCGGTGCATCAAGTCTGACACCAACAGGCTCCTGAATAGCTTCTGTCCCCAAGTCATAAGACTGCTAAATAGCCATCTATGTAAATAGCTAAACAAAATGGCTACACGGGCTGAGTTGACCCTTGTATTCTATTCAGATTTTTGCACCGTCTATGCACACTCACAGGGCCCTACACACACTGATACTCCCAACACACAGACAAACACACCCTTCCTCAGCTATAAGCCATCTGTGTTGGACTTTGTTGATTAGTCCAAGATGGCAGCTGGTTTGATCACAAGTTCAAAGCAGACAGTCTTAAAAATGCTCTCTAGTCTAGGTTCATTAATGCGGAAGAGTTCTCATTATAATAAATCAAATAACTTAGCTGGTAGCTACTAATCAAAAACAAAATCGCCTACTACAAGGACTCCTCCCTCATGATCTGTGGGTTAAAAGCGTTTGCGCTTGAACTTGTTGGGCTGTTTCTGTCTATGTCCTTGTAACAAACCCCCCTGGCTAAGACCTGTCACAACTGTCGGTTGTAAACTAACATCTGCTTCAGGGCCATCAATGCTCAAAAGGTCTTTCAACATCATAAGTCAAATAACTTGAAAATTAAAAACAAATTCACAACACTTCACTCCTCATATGACCTGTAGGAGTTATTCCAAACGGTGTATATAAACCCTAGATTGCTGACACTACATATTGGCCAATGAGAGGCTTTGAAGCCACCCGTCGGCCATATTGCCACTCCCCAGTAGGAGCAGTCCTCCATAGGAATGAATGGAATTCTACAGTATTTCAATGAAATGTTTCAAGGGGAAAAAATTGCAGGTGTTTAAGTATTTGTATTTTTTGTAGTGGGGACAGTAAAATTCGTAATCTCCCCAAAAAATTATACTTATATACTTTTCATTTTTATGTTTAACTCACGTGATATAATTTTAAAAAGTATGCATTAAAAGGTGTCTAACATAATAAATGTGGCAAAAACTAAATGCAGACATTAATAAATGCATTTCTATAGCTTCCAAAAAAAATATATATATATATATTATACCAAGATGGAGGTGTGGTGGTTTCAACACAGCTACCCCTATCACCCCGTGTAGCTCAGTTGGTAGAGCATGGCGCTTGCAATGCCAGGATTGTGGGTTCGTTTCCCATGGGGGGCCAGTATGAAAAATGTATGCACTCACTAACTGTAAGTCACTCTGGATAAGAGCGTCTGCTAAATGACTAAAATGTCAATAGCAGCATACATATATATATATAAAAATCATTGGTTATTCCTCACGAAAACAAAAACATGATTTTGGGGATTTTCACAACATTTTATCCATAGAATAGTCCTTTGGAGGAAGGATTGTTGACATGTATTTGACATTTGTATCATAAAAGCATAAAAGTTTGAATACATGTGGCTTTTTGGCCAGACATTTGTAGGTGCTAAAGCATAATATGGTGTCATATGAAGCTTTACAGCTTTCGCTGTAACACAAGTCGTATTTTTATTTCAATTTCTGAATATTGAAAATACAATTTTGGATTTGGCAATTTTTCTCAATATATTGTTGAGCATAATATACTCTACGGCAGTTTCAAACGCTGGCCCATTTTTTTCTTGAGTGGATGGTCAGGGGGTCGGAACATAATTAAAAGTAATTTGACCGCAAGAAGCCCAAACAGATATAATATTGAACTAAAACAATAATTTCAAACCATGCTTACATTTGTATAAGATAACATACATTCGGAAAGCACTCAGACCACTTGACTTTTTCCACATTGTTACGTTACAGCCTTATTCTAAAATTATTAAATAAAAAATCCTCAATCTACACACAATACCCCAGAATGACAAAGCAAAAAAAGGTTTAGAAATTTTGGCAAATGTATGAATAATGAAAAACTGAAATTCCTTATTTACATAATTCAGACCCTTTGCTATGAGACTCGAAATTAAGCTCAGGTGCATCCTGTTCCTCTCATTTTTCTCTGCAGATCTTCTCAAGCTCTGTCAGGTTGGATGGGGAGCGTTGATGCACAGCTATTTTCAGGTCTCTCCAGAGAGGTTTGATCGGGTTCAAGTCCGGGCTCTGGCTGGGCCACTCAAGGACATTCAGAGAATTGTCCCGAAGCCACTTCTGCGTTGTCTTGGCTGTGTGCTTATGGTCGTTGTTCTGTTGGAAGGTGAACCTTAGCCCCAGTCTGAGGTCCCGACCGCTCTGGAGCAGGTTTTCAACAAGGATCTCCCTGAACATTGCTCCATTCATCTTTGCCTCTATCCTGACTAGTCTCCCAGTCCTTGCCTTTGAAAAACATCCCCACAGCATGATATTGCCACCACCATGCTTCACCGTAGGGATGGTGCCAGGTTTCCTCCAGACGTGACGCTTGGCATTCAGGCCAAAGAGGTCAATCTTGGTTTCATCAGACCAGAGAATCTTGTTTCTCATGGTCAGAGTCCTTTAGGTGCCTTTTGACAAACGCTAAGCGAGTTGTCATGTCCCTTTTACTGAAGAGTGGCTTCCATCTGGCCACTCCACCATAAAGGCCTGATTGGTAAAGTGCTGCAGAGATGGGAGAACCTTCCAGAAAGAAAACCATCTCCACAGAGGAACTCTAGAGCTCTGTCAGAGTGACCATCGGGTTCTTGGTCACCTCCCTGACCAAGGCCCTTCTCCCCCGATTGCTCAGTTTGGACGGGCGGCCAGCTCTAGGAAGAGTCTTGGTGGTTCCAAACTTTTTCCATTTAAGAATGATGGAGGTCACTGTGTTCTTGGGGACCTTCAATTCTGCAGACATGTTTTGGTACCCTTCCCCAGATCTGTACCTCGACACAATCCTGTCTCGGAGCTCTACGGACAATTCCTTTGACCTCATGGCTTGGTTTTGCTCTGCCATGCACTGTCAACTGTGGGACCTTATATAGACAGGTGTGTGCGCCTTTCTAAATCATGTCCAATCAATTGAATTTACCACAGGTGGACTCCAATCAAGTTATGGAAACAGGATGCACCTAAGCTCAATTTCGAGTCTCATAGCAAAGGGTCTGAATACGTGTGTAAATAAGGTATTTCTGTTTTTTATACATTAGCAAAAATTTCTAAAACCCTGTTTTCGCTTTGTCATTATGGGATATTGTGTGTAGATTGATGAGGAAAAACATTTTTAAAATCCATTTTAGAATAAGGCTGTAATGTAACAAAACGTGGAAAAAGTCAAGGGGTCTAAATATTTTCCCAATGCACTGTATATCTCTATTATGTGCGGGAATACTTTGTAACAGATTTCCACATTTTTTTAAAAATCACTTGGAGCTGATTTGCTGGTGTTTTTACAAGTCAGAAAACTTGAGTGGGAGGGGCATATTCAAGTTCCAGGGTGGGATCTCTGCTACTTTTAGAATGATGATCCAATTTGTAAGCATTACCAAAAGGGTGAATGTGAAAATGGATTCAAAATGGTCATCCTCTGCTGGTGATTTGCAGGATGTGCAATGATACAAGTAAAAGGAGGGCTGTGATTGGTTACATTGCCTACTATGCCAATTTCGCAGTATAAAATGGACCATAACTTCAAAAGCTAGCAGAGATCCCACAGTTGGACTTTCATATGCCTGTGGAGTATATTATGTTCAACAACATATAGAAACATTTGACAAATCAAAAATTACTTTCAATATTCTTGATTACATTTTTCAATATTCCTAAATGAAATGTACGAAAATTGTTATAAAAAAATAAAAACTATTACAGAGCAAGCGGCTTCATGACACCAATGTTTGCTTTGTCGCTCTTACAGATTAAACAGTATGGAGTCTTAAAGGAGGCCTGGGTAAGGCCAAAATGTCACAAATACTCCAACTTCAATTAATTTCTCAATTATGCTTTTAGATATGTCAACAATCCTTCCTCCAAAGGACCATTCTATGGATCACAATGTGAAAAATCACTTTTTTTGTTTTGTTGTTGTGATGAATCACCCGTAGCCAACCTGGGTTAAAGGGAAAGGAAAGGGGGATATCTAGTCAGTTGTACAACTGAATGCATTCAACTGAAAATGTGTCTTTCGCATTTAACCAAAGTGTTTGACTTGCGCTCTATGAACTTTTGGAGCCATTTCAATTTTAGCTCCATTGTACAAACTACTTCAAGCACAGCTCATGTTCTTTTTTTTTGTATTTGACGGATGAAAAAATAAATACAAAATCTAACGTTTATGCAGTCAATCTCTACTCATACCTCATTTTATTTTGAACGCGATCGAAGCCTGAGAGCTGAGGCTAACCTGAAGGACAGTACACTTACTTGTGCGATAACTGCAATACCTAGTTTATACAGTACACCTACTTGTGAGAGTACTTGCTCCGGACGGCCAGGAGTTTGTCGTCTGGAGGGGAGGTGAGCATGGAGTGAAGCTTCCGGACGACAGGGGCCAGCTCTGACACACCGTACCCAGAGTGGAAAACCAGGATAGGGGGACTAGAGGACAGGGGACAGAGGTGTGGGTGATTAAATACAAACTATAATGTAAAGTATTCCCAGCCCCTCTCTACCCAGAGTATGGGGGACTGGAGTGGTACTGTAAGATGTCAGACAAGGCAGTGAAGGACCAGGGTACGTTTTCAGACTATAAACAGGTATTGGCTCATTGATTTCAGTATGGGATGTGTAATAAATTCATAAGGCAGAGCAGAAAGTAGAGAACGGGAGACCGACATAGAAATACACTGAGTGGACATATGAGTGGTATACTCTGTGTGTGTGTAGAAACTCACCCATCCTCCCAGCTCCTTGGTGACTAGAGCCAGCAGCAGACAGGCTGAGGCCAGCAATGATCCTCTCTCTGGGACCAGATCCATTTCCTGGAGACTCAGCTCACACACGTACCGTGCCAGGGTTAGAGTGTCCATACTGGCACTCACACACTGGAGAGATAGAGAGAGAGAGAGGGGTTACACACTGGAGAGATAGAGAGAGAGAGAGGGGTTACACACTGGAGAGATAGAGAGAGAGAGAGGGGTTACACACTGGAGAGAGAGAGAGAGAGAAGGGTTACACACTGGAGAGAGAGAGAGAGAAGGGTTACACACTGGAGAGAGAGGAGGAGAGAAGGGTTACACACTGGAGAGAGAGGATAGAGAAGGGGTTACCAACCATGGAGAGAGAGAGAGAGAGGGTTACACACTGGAGAGAGAGAGAGAGAGGGGTTACACAGGAGAGAGAGAGAGAGGAGGGGTACACACTGGAGAGAGAGAGAGAGAAGGGTTACCACACGGGAGAGGAGAGAGAGGAGAGAGAGCGAGGGGTTACACACTGGAGATGAAAGAGAGAGGTGGGTTACACACTGGAGAGGAGAGAGAGAGAGGGGTACACACTGGAGAGAGAGAGAGAGGGGTACACACTGCGAGAGAGAGAGAGGAGGGGACACACTGGAGAGAGGAGAGAGGGGTACAAATGGAGAGAAGAGAGAGAGGGTTTACACACTGGAGAGAGAGAGAGAAGGGGTTACACACGGGAGAGAGAGGAGCAGAGGGGTTAAACAAAACTGGAGAGAGAGAGAGAGAGGGGTTACACACTGGAGAGAGAGAGAGAGAGGGGTTACACACTGGAGAGAGAGAGAGAGAGGGGTTACACACTAGAGAGATGGAGAGGGGTTACACACTGGAGAGAGAGAGAGAGAGAGAGGGGTTACACACTGGAGAGAGAGAGAGAGAGAGGGGTTACACACTGGAGAGAGAGAGAGGGGTTACACACTGGAGAGAGAGAGAGGGGTTACACACTAGAGAGAGGGAGAGGGGTTACACACTAGAGAGATGGAGAGGGGTTACACACTAGAGAGATGGAGAGGGGTTACACACTAGAGAGAGAGAGAGAGAGAGAGGGGTTACACACTGGAGAGAGAGAGAGAGAGGGGTTACACACTGGAGAGATAGAGAGGGGTTACACACTGGAGAGATAGAGAGAGAGAGGGGTTACACACTGGAGAGAGAGAGAGATGAGATGGAGAGAGACATGGAATACACACACTGGACAGAGATTGAGAGAGAGAGAGAGACAGACAGACAGACAGAGACAGAGAGAGAGACAGAGACAGAGACAGACAGAGAGACAGACAGAGAGACAGACAGAGAGACAGACAGAGAGACAGACAGAAAGAGACATGGAATACACATGCTGCAGACAAGAGGATAAACATACATCCAACTCACAGGAGGTTGGTGGCACCTTAATTAGGGAGGACAGGCTCATAGTAATTGCTGGAATGGAATAAATGGAATGGTAATGAACTCAAACACATGGTTTCCAGGTGTTTGATACCATTCCATTCCCTCCATTCCAGACTAGAGGCAGAGAGTCTCTCTCTCTCTCACACACTCAGATAATGGATGTTTAAATAAGATCATCTTTGAAAACTAACAATCAACAAAATAAAAGCTAGACAGTCAGAGAATCTAAAAATGTAAAGAAATTATGCATTCAGGAGTATTTTTTTATGGCATGGGGCCCCCATTGATTTTATCATGTTTGAGTCACTCAGATAGCACAAATGTGTAGAATTGCAGGAAATCTGCTTTGAAACTGCTATATTTTATCGCTGCGGCCAACAGGAGGGCCTCTAAAATGTTCAGTCGGCCATCACACCATTGGCCACGCCCCCACCCACCACCATTTTGATCCAGGAAAAAACCCTGTACCTTGGCGTATCGCCTGAGGAAGCGGTAGGGGACGGGGATGTTGATGTCGAACCCCAGCGCCTGCAGGATATTTGTCTCCATAGCGATCAGCTCCTCCCTCTTGTACGCATCGTCACAGACGTACAGGAAGTCGTCCACACAGGGCGGACAGCGCTCCTGACGGAGGGAGAGAGACAGAGGATTGTGGGTAAGAGAAAGAGTATTGCACAAACAGAGAGAAAGAGGAGAGCCCAAGTGAGAGGACAACTCTAACCCCTCCCTACATCCGTCCCTCACCTCTCCTACCGCTAACCGGACAGGTAGCGTGCGCTCAATATTCCTCACCTCAAACTTGGACGCTATGAGCATGGCTGTAGACCCTATGAGCTGTAGACTCTCTCTGTTGACCGGAGCAGTGGACAGGTAGTGGTCCGTCACCTTCACAGCCAGATACAGGGTCTCATGGTTCAGCTCAAAGTTCTCCTGGAAAACACACAGAAACATGGTGTCAACAAACACACTTTCTCCAGCGCACACACACACACACACACAGAACCACAGAGTGCCAACACATACACTTCTCAACTTCACTCCTATTTTAATTGTCTGTACTATGGGCATACTGCATTGTAGAGTATTATTGTAGCAGCAAGTAGCATTGTAGAGTATTATTGTAGCAGCAAGTAGCATTGTAGAGTATTATTGTAGCAGCAAGTAGGGCTGTGGTGGTCACAACATTTCGTCAGCCGGTGATTGTCAAGCAAATAACTGGTTGTTCTCGCGGTAATTGATTGTCAATTAACATAAACACATTTAGCATCTCCTGGCTTCCACACGTCGCCTACAAGCCACTGATGCAGACGCTTGGAACATCTACATTTACATTTTTTAAAATAATAAATCCATTATTTATTTTTAGACAGGTCTAAAGAAGCACGATATGAAGAAAATGTAGTCTATTTCAGAAGAACAGAATAGCATACTCGGAGTTGTCCTTATGTTAGGTCCTGATGTGGCTATGCCAAATGGCTGTGGGCTACACTAGTTCATTTAGCAGACAAGATTTGCTTAGAATTCCGTGACATTATTTTATCGTATGAAGAATACAACTGAACAAAGCTGAATAAAATATAAAGGATATTTTCTCCAAATGATTTGAGGGTGTGCGCACCTGCGGCTATTCTGTGTTGAGCGGTTAACAAAGAATAGGTACTCCTATATGCTTAGTTTAGAGTTATTAATGTAACTTTAGTTGTTCTACAAACATTGGGCTATATGTTTAGATTTTTAATACATTGTAAGGCTGCATGATGCGACTAATGATTTGAAAAAAGTCGCTTGAAAAGGCATGAGCTCTGCTTTGTTTTTTGTGCAGGCTGTACACACTACATCAGTCACTCATTCACAATTTGACAAGCACTTGATAATGCCTAGAATTTCACCGCGGCATCCCCTTTGTGTGGCCTTAATGCACCCTTAACAAATCCATGACTTTTGCGGCCAGTGGCCGGTGCCCTTCTCCCTGAGTGCTGCGCTCTCCGAATCACCTCTCACTCACGTGATCGGGTCTTTCTCACAGGCTACAAGTGAAGACAGACACGTAGGGGACGCAACTGCGCGCGTCCTTATCCAATTCCGAGGCGCATATTGAAGATATTGGAAGAACTGTCCACATTTACTTTTCGTCAGCCAACAAGATGAGTAGGCCTAACGAACAGCAAACACACTGGCCTATGTCAATCTACTATCCCCCATAGTACAAAAGTCAACCTGTTCTATTCTGTGCAACAAATAAATATTCCAAACATAGTCTGGGACAGTTGTGGGATGCGATAGATCCCAAATTAATACAATCACTAGCATCAAAAAACCTGTTTTACACAATGTGGCTGACGCAACAGATCAGAACGTTTAGCTTAAAAATGTTGATAAACTATTAGGCTATTTCTTCACATTATAAGCGCAGCAATGCGCACATGGCAGTAGGCTATAAGCAGGAATGTTCCATTAGCAGGAAAACAACATTCTCCAAAGTGACCACAAATGCGATTATTTATGTAATGCTTTTATTATAAAGGGGCATTTTTATGGTGAAAATTATTTTCCCCAAACTTGAAACGTATGCGCTGCTTATGTATGCCAGCTAGGCTCTACACCCCTTGTAAAGCGGATTAATGTGCTTAATTCTAAGACGTTTTTTGGCCACTTTAGTTGTGATATAAACCTTTTCAATACATATAGGCCTATGGGCTAGGCCATGAGGTGCTCGACTATGATTAGAAAAAGTCGCAAAAAGAGGCTATTTAAGCTGGGCATCATTCACAAGTGATAATATATCATTCACAAGTGATAGTCTGATGGGTGACAATATTAGCCTATCCTTGACTTAATCTTGTCTTTACATATACTAAAATATATATATATATATATATATATGTGAAATTTGTTTTGATTTAGAATGGACCATTATCATGCACCTGTCTCGAAACAGGGGCAGCGGGGAAAAAATACTTGTCATCTATGCACTTAAATAACGAATGGAGGACGCTTTTCCCGTGGTTCATTTTCATGCCAGCCAGGCTGTACTCCTGTTGTAAAGAGAAGCAATGTGCTTAATATTCGGAAAGTTGAGAAATAAATATAGTAGGCCTAGCCTATAGAAAGCTGATGGGATCCTCCTCTTCTTAAGAGGCCATCAAAACTCTGTTTTCTCACGCAATTTCATAGTCTATAGAAATGTTGCACAACATGAGCTCATGGGCTCTCATGAAGTGTTTGATTAGATTTGCATTGATGTCAGAGTGATTAGAGGGACAATAGAGTGCTGAGTACCAGGCAGTTAGCAAGTTTGGTAGGCTACTAATGACCATCAGCAGCATCAGAGCTTGGAGAAGCCTAATTACCGTGACTAAACGGTCACGTGGTGTGGCGGTAATACGGTCACCACAACAGTCCTAGTAGCAAGTATACTGGTTTCCTGACCTGCACCTCGACCAGCCAGTCCACCAGGATGGACCTCATCCCAGCGTTCAGACTGGGCTGGATGGACATATAGTCAGACAGGATGAACTTCTCCTCTCTGGCTTTGAGGTAGTCAAATATCTCTTTGGCGTACTCAGCCGTCAGAGTGGGGTCATCCAGGTGCTGGGTGTCTATATCAAACTTCTCAGGGATCTGAAAGAGGGAAGGAAGGAGGGAGGAAGAGAGAAAGAGAAGTGTGATATTTGGGTAAAGCCCTAAAAATGGTCAAAGACCCCAGCCACCCTAGTCAAACTGTTCTCTCTGCTACCGCACGGCAAGCGGTACCGGTGCGCCAAGTCTAGGTCCAAAAGGCTTCTTAACAGCTTCTACCCCCAAGCCGTAAGAGCCCTGAACATCTAATCAAATGGCTACCCAGACTATTTGCACTGCCCCTCCCCCACTTTTACACTGCTGCTACTCTCTGTTTATTGTCTATGCATAGTCACTTTACCTCTACCCACATGTACATATTACCTCGACTAACCGGTTCCCCCGCACATTGACTCTGTACCGGTACCCCCTGTATAAAGCCTCGCTACTGTTGTTTTACTGCTGCTCTTTAATTATTTTTTATTTTTTTTACTTAACACTTATTTTTCTTAAAACTGCATTGTTGGTTAAGGGCTTGTAAGTAAGCATTTCACTGTAAGGTGAACTATCTGTTGTATTCAGCGCATGTGACTAATAAAGTTTGATTTCATTTACAAAGAGCTATACAGAACAGTGCTAGATTATGCTAAATTGAGTTCCATAGAATTATTCCTGACTGTCTCCATTTAGAGCCCACCGATGTGACAATAGACTGTGGTGCCCCATTAGCC